ATATATATATATATATATATATATCATAATATAAATAAAATCGCGAAGTAATCTAATAGATTTGAATGACTTTTGTCTCGCTTTCACAATTCTGATGTGACGTAGCATATGAAGTAAGAATAATATATATTTTTTAATACATGGATTATTAACAAATGTCTGTGAATAGCGTTACGGTATTGTTTGCGTATATTTTTCATGGAATGTGTACACTGTAAATCATAGCTGCCGATGCTCATAGAAGTGTAGGTAGAATATATTGATTTCCGATTTCTGTTGTACGTCGTATAGCTATTGTTGGAGGATAATATTTCAACAAGGTGAATTCGAGTCGTAAAATTTCCGATGTACAATAAAATAATGCATTGTTATCAGACATAATTTTAATCGTTTCTCCGACAGCGAGATATAAGGCGCGCAAAACCGCAAAATCCGCAAAATTTCTTTCGTACTTATTCATTTCTGCGCAATAAGGCAAATTATTAAATTATTCTTCTAAAGATTTAAAAGTAAACACGAGGAAATAATATTTCCTTATTTAAATTCATGTTAACTTAATTGTCACTGAGAGCAATTCTGAGAGATTTACTGCTAATTAGTGCGAAGTTTATTACCAGCAGAACATATATTTATCTATCGTTACAATTAATAATTAATTTGCTGATGCTTGCAATTTGCTGAAAGTTTCGTTCGTTAAAGCCAAATTAATTTCGTCAGCGGTTTGCAAGACGGTAATTAATAGGTAATAGTATTATAATACTGTCGTTAATATTAATATTATGAATATGTTCGTCGCTCGGAAGTTTACGTAATATAATAATTATTTTTCTTGCACAATGCTTACTATTAATAAAGTGATTTGATGAAACTCATGAGAGACTTATACATTATTTTAAATGTTATTAATTTAAATTACGATACGAATAAAGACTTTATAAAGATGTAAAGGGCACATCATTTTTTAAATAATTACGCATTAAAAATCACTTTACTTCTAAATTTATAAATATTCACAAACAGGGTACATTTCTTACATAAATTTAATATTGAGAGTAATTAATTCCTTATTTTGAAATATTAAAAGCTGATATTCCAAATTAATTAATTTGGCTTTTAGTACTCGAAATAAGTAATCCCAAGTGTCCAATATTAAATTGGATTTCTGAAAGAATCGACAAAACATAGTAAACCCTTGCCTGCCTCTTGGTTTATTCAAGGTTGAACCTGATAGATACGCATTTTCCCACTGGTGGAGGGTCAAGGACAAGTTAATTAGAATTGATGAGCGATCCTCTTCCAACGTATATTCAATTTTTTGTGGACGTCATAACTTATCTTTACAGAAATATAATATCAGACAATTTATTACTGAAAGACAGAAATTAATTATTTATTTGGTTTACTAAAAATATTAAACAATAGTGTCCTTAGTACTCAAAATGAGTAATTATGCTATCTTTCAATATTGGCTTCAGTATTAGATTTCTGTAAAGGTATTCATGGATATTCACAGAACTACAGATATTTAGATAAATACGTTGCAAACTATAGTAAATTATATATCCTGAACATGTAGTGTTACATAACTCGCTTGCGTATTTGCGCTGTGAATTTTTTTCGCTATGCTCACCAAGAAAAAGATTATCTCTCCTGTTTACGAGCAAGAGATAGTTTTCTATTGCACATTTTGAAGCGCGTTTATCTAAAAGATTAGTATTTAAATTTAAAATATGTTGTATTAAGATCTGACTTCACGTTGAATTATTAAAATTACATTTCGCGTCCGTTGCTTCAACCGGTTTCTCATTTTTATGTTCGTCTATCTTATTTTATCGATAATTATATATCACTTTTCTATAATATCAAATAAAAAAAAATACTTTATGTCTATTCTATATCTCTTTTCTGTAGTATCAAATAAAAAAAATACTTTACATCTATTCTATATTTTATATTCATGTTAAAACATAATAGATATGCAACATATAGATTTATATTACTGATTTCATACACTTTATATGTAATAAAACATACTTTAGCTTTTCTCAATTTTTATTAATGTTTGTGGTTTATGTTTGCTGAATTATTTTATTTTAGAAGCTAAAATATCTCTTCTTTCTTTTTTTTTTAGATAATTTGTTTTGAAATATTAATAAACTTTTTATCTTCCTCTACCTTTATTACCCTTACTCAAATGATTTTGTTTAGCTTTTGACTTTTATCGCAATATTTTATTTATCATTAACATAAGATTGCATGATGAAGCTGTTTTTCTAAGCATAATATGAAAGTTTGTTTGCGGCTGTATTTAACATCAAAAGTTAAAACTACGCTTTACTGACTATATTATGCTTTAACGGTATAAATATAGCTTTTTAATAATATATTTTCGCTTTATCTACCATTTCCAGCGAAAATATAAACATAATAAAGTAGTACATTATTTGTACTACTATAGTGCTGTACTCAGCATTTAGTAAAGCAATGTTGAGGATACAAATATTAATTTATTTCAAATATTTATTTCAAAAATGTTATTTTCGTTACATAAATAACAAAATGATTATTATTTCCACATAACAAATGAACTTTAATTTAACATATAAATTAAACCTTGAAACTTCTCTAAAAGTTATTATAAAAAAAATTTTAGTCATAATCATAAAACTCCAAGAATATCGATTAATCACAGTCGAGCATTTGGAGACGCAAGATTATAATTTTTATTGGCTGCATTCAGCAGAGAAAGTGACTTTGCAACTATTGTAAAATTCTTTAATATGATTAGTCTTGTCCTTAATTTCCCTCATTAGATCTAAATTAATCATAAATAAACAATTAGTAATCCTTGAGCCGTAAGAAATTGATCAATTACAGTCGAATGTGGGAAAAGTAATCGACTATGATATTGGTCCATTTTTTAATCATTCCCTTAATAACACAGGTCTCTAAGGGATGTTCCAAAGAACATTCAAAGAATATCTCTATGTCTTAAAAACGTTTGCCAGAATATCCTTTGAATAAAGTGTGCTATCAAAACCGTAATAAGTACAATCTTAAGATGTCATGAACCAATTACAGAGCTGTATTAACATCTTAAGACAATCACTTGAGATAGAACTTGAGATAGTCTTGAAGAACCGACTATGAATATTCATCTTAATATTTAAAGCTTATATTTAATACTACACTTATTGTGTTTCGGAACTTTACTCCTTTTTACCAATGTAGTTTAATTTTAATCTCAACTAACTCTTTATCTTTCTCTAGTTCTAAGAATTACAAAAAGATGAAGAGTAAATTGAACTGAGATTAAAGTTAATCTATATTGGTAGAAACGAGCATAGGTTTTTCTGTATGCCTTAAAGTGATCACAAAGTCATCTGTTTTATCGATCGAATGTGATTATTTTCTATGTAAGTATTTTTTTAACCGCAGATTAACTTTGCAGATTTAAATCTTTTTCTATGCATTTAAAATAAAATAGTATACACAGTAATATAGTCCAAGCCAATCGACTTTATGCAAAAAAACAAAAAAAAATGGAAAATTACAGTTTTATTATCGGCTTCTGGTATCGATTTGTAACAATATTTGCTAGATACAAGTTTTATACTTTATACGTACAAAATAATCTTAGTTGGGATTAGAGATTATATGAACAAGCAGTATTGAGTTCTTAGAATTAGACTTAATATCTAATATGAAAGATTAATGGCTTAGAAAATTTGTGTGTATGTGTGCGTGCAATATTGGTGTCTAGTGTGTAGCGATGTGATGACACGTAAATCATATATGTGTAAGTTCTTGAATCAGTAAAGTAGCAATCATGTCGGAGATGTCGAAGTTCAATTTTCATTTGGGATCCTTTCAAGGAGCGACATCGTTCGCTGAAAGCTCAAGGAAGACAAAATATTTGCGGATTGTGACGAAATCTGTCATTAACAGCTGATTGACGCATTGATAATCGCAGTGCGATCGCGACTTCCTCGTTTCACCGCGAGATACCCAAACTCTCCAAAATCCGGATCCTGGGACATTCAATAAATCTTTCCGTACTGCGAAAGAAAAGTATATATCGTATTTGTGACTATAATTGCATGATAAAATAATTATGGTCAGGAGCATCATTTTTATAGTTATTATTGCTATAAATTAGTAACAATAATCTTATATGTATAGTTACAATTACGATATTTTACGAACGAATATTTTATAGTATAATTTACTAGATGCAAATAAGTATAATTTTTGTGTAAGATAATCATACAATTAGTTGAATATATATTCGATGTTCAGATTACTATAATTCATATGATCAAAACAATTATATATTTGTAGTTGTTCCAAAAAATGACTTGTAAATTACAATTAAATTATGATTATTCCAATGATTTTTGTTCTCTCAGTGTGCGTATGCGTGCACGCACGCACGTATGCATGGTCGGAGTGCGTCTACGCGTAATATGACATGTCAGGCCACGGTAGCGCGCCGCCAAAAATTCAATCCGGCATGTCAGCACGCCGCTGTGTGTATCAACATTGAAAAATCAATGGTAACCCGTGACGTAGGTGTCCCGCCTCAACAACAGCCAATGGATGCGCTGGTTCGTCCCTACCACTCTCATCATGAGTCGCGAGACCCTCGTTTATCCACGCGCAGACCGGCGTGCTTATTCCGTAGCGAACTGCCGCATTGTACGGACGTGAGTTGAGAAACGGATTGCCGGAACAGGCGATACGCCAGCTGTAACTAAACGGAAAGGGCATAAAAGACGCACGCATTATCGAGCATATCGCAAACGCACTTGTGCGAGCGCGACGTGTATGAAGTTTTCCAGTTCGATCTGCTGGACGAAGCGGTCATCGTCAACATCGTCGACACCGTCAGCGATTGATCGCAAAGCGGAAGAATTCTTCGGAGGCGAAAATTCTTAGCGAGAACTCGCAGGCAAGGCATCATCCATAGGAGCTACTGACGCGCCAGTGTAACGATTGGCCTTTTCTCTCTCTCTCTCTCTCTCTCTCTCTCTCTCTCTCTCTCTCACTCTTGCGTGGTGCGAGCCGTGCAAGGTCTTAAAACTTTCTAAGAGTATTTTAGAAAAGAGAGAAAGAGAGAAAGAGAAAGAGATTGCGGAACGTAAAAAGATAGGGACGAACCGGACAGGCGAAGTGTGAAACGGAGACCAGATAATAAAAGTCTACGAGATGGCGTTTATGATGCCTGTGGTGAAAAACGAATGGGACATTTATAAGACTAATAGGAGTCGACGATCGTCCGAGTGCTCGAATCCGCAGGCTTGTCGTAGCCGAAAGGTGAGTGGATGATGTTTATTTACTTTACATGGTGTGGCGTTTTTCAAATAGGCTTCGAGTGATTGAACGCTCCTTTGACGTGAGAGAGGATAGAAAATTGCCGGAACCGTTAAGATACGCATATGTCATCATTATTCATGTTTAAATTTTCCTGCCTTTATTTGCGATACAAAATAAAAATGCAAATCGAAATTGATATTAAATAAGATAGATAACACTGAGAGAAAAGTGTTTTTTGTATTCGTGGTTTTTTATAATTCATGGTAAACAATTTTGGTTAAGAGTTTTATTTTTATAATTATTATTGCTGTAATACTAGTAATAATTATAATTAAAATTCTTTTAAAAAATAGTTGTCATTGAAAACGACTATAGATTATAATAGACTATAAATTATAATCCTTATAATTATTATTTCTAAAATGTTAGTAATAATAATATTTTTGGAGTCTAAAAAATGTACATTTGGCATCAAACATGATCATAAATTGTAGTTAAATTATGATAATTGCAATCATTTTTTCCTCAATTTCTGATGAGGAATATACAACTGCTAAAAAAAATGTCTATTGTTTCACGAAGCACTAATGGAAAAATGCTGTACCGAATATTAAAAAATAGTCTGATAATGTGCATTATTGGCAATATATTTAAAACATAAAGATTCTTCGCAAAATTGATTTAATATTTTACGTACAAATACTTTGATATTTTACGTATATATAATAAAAAAAATATGGCAGTAGATAAAAGGAGCGAAAAAATTTATTTTTTAATATTGCCGTGTACGACTTTTTTATATCAAATGAGAAATGGGAGTTTAACTTTTTATCCATATTGCAGACTATTGCATGTTGTAACATGGCGATACGTCGCTAAAAAAAAATCGAGTGTTAATAAATATTAATCTTCGTGCGTGATTGTCAACGTGTTCGGGGTTATAAAATGTCAAAAGCTTTTCGAGAGTTTTAATTTGCAAAACACTGCAATACAGTGAATTGAACGAATTCGGATGAATTCGACAGTTTACATCAACGCCAATGACGTAACTGCGCATCTTTATTGTCATATATATAGATTTTCCTTTAATCGTTTATTGACGGCAACATATAAAACAAAAAAGTTTGTAAATAATTCTTTTTTTTTTTTGAAAGTTTACATGTTGAAATAATATCGTTTACAAAATTGCAAAAGACTCAACAATGGCGCCAGTCAGTTTTGATGCGTCATTCGCGCATTATATCGCATGTATATTATTAACTCGAAAGCATTGCAACCGTCGGCACGGAAAATGAAATATGCGTTTAAGGAAAATCATTATGCGCTTACTTTCGCCAGCATATCTTGTTTATTGCACGGTTTTGAGATTATTTATGGGCGTTCGTCGGAAAAGGATTGCGCGAATAGACAACGGGCAAGAAATCGAGAAAGAATGCCGCCACTGCACTAGTGCGATTTTTTCGCAGGTCTGGCGAACCGGCAGACACAGCCGTCTTGCGAAGTGCGGCACGTCCGATCGTCCTCCCGTCTCGGTTCTCATGGTAATCGGCCATTCTAGTTTTACGCGGCGTGTCGTTTCATTTTTCCAACCTGTCTGAGGCGTTTATTTCGAAAACAGATTTTGTTGTATTATACACGGGAAAAAACACAGCTGAAAACTTCACTGATTCAGCAAATCTATAGTCGTAATATACAAACAGTCAATTTTCTATGTTAAAATAGCAAAGTTGACAGCTGAATAACATTAGCGATTTGTTAAACATCAAATCTTCTTAATTATTGATGTTGAATTCGCGTAATAAATTATAGGTTTGCTGTATCATCCAACTAATTTTTTTTTCGTGTATGACTTGTTAGAAATGAGATGAGCGTATTAAATATTGATGAGAAAGCTTTCAACAGCTGCTGCCTTTGTCAACCTTTTCGAAATAAACACTTCACTTAACTCCCATAGCTTCAGGAAATATCGATTGATTTACGTTCAAGAGTATCTCTAAAAATATGTTTTTTATTATTAATTAAAAGAAAATATTTATATTAAATATTTATATTAATAGAAGATATAATTGGGAAAGATGTATAAAGACATAAAGATATTATTGTTCTGTTTGTTCGGTATTGATACTAATATGAATATAGTATTGATTTTCTTGGAGCTATACAAGAGCTAATTACGATTTGTTATCCTTTTGATCGTTCCTGAAAATATCCTGCTTTTCTTATGTAATTATGTTATTTATATGACATTGTGTAACTTAGTGTAATTGTATACACATAATGCAAATTCCATGATAATGGAAATGTTGCGATCTTGAATTAACAGCAGAAATATATATTTTCATTTAAAATATGAAATTTTCTCAGGAAAATTTAGAACGATTTAACAAAATATTGATTATAATTAGATTTCGACTCAAATCATTAATAAATTAATTAAGTCAAATTAATATAAATAAAGAAGCAATTAAGATTTTATAGAAATCTAAATTTTTTTTTTCAAATTAAATTCAAATTCATCGATAATGACACATGCTGCTTTAATCTGTGTAGTCCTTTCAGATTTGTCTCAATAACTGTTGCTTTTGTGATGTGTATGTATATTACAATTTTTACATGTCTTTTGTGTATGTTTTTAAATACAAAATTTTCAAATATAATATCTTTTCACATGATGGAAATAATTGATAATATAGAAAATTAATTCTAGATTGCGTGCTACGTGCATCTCTAAAAGTTTTATTAACGTGAAATTAATTTGAGTTTGAAAAAGTGAACTTTCAGCCTTGTCTATATGATGTTTTGAACTTGTTATGGAATTTTTTTTTCAATCTTTAATATTTAAAATTTTCCATCGAGCTTATATCAAAGACAAGTTATCTCTAAATTTGTCATAAAAATGTTAATCGTGAGAAAGTTTGCGATCCATGCCGCAACAAGAGGAGTTTGATTGCTTCCTCTGAGCGTCAAGGACAGATCAAACTTTTTTTTTACGATTGACCGTATTCGCAACTCGCAACGTCGATCGTTCTTCTCGCGCCGGCGTTCGTCGATAAATAGCTCGGAAAAAGTCGGACCTTTTTTTTTCTCGTGACATCGCTGCCGTAAAAGATCAACTCGCCGCATTCAGAACCGGTTTCTCCCTTGGCATCACTAAACGTTCGACGAAATTGTATTTGCAGATGCTGAATAAGCACAGTCAATAATAGGTGACGATCGAAACCACGTGTCCCGACGGATAAATACACGCCGGCTAGAAATTTATTTTTAACACGACGTCGGCAGTTATGCGCATAATGTTGTGAATTGCACTCGGTTTATTGCGCTCGTAAATGTTATCGCAAATGTCATATTGCCGGTGGTATTGCGACTTTTGTGTTTATTTCATTTATCATTTACATATGAAATAACTTTATACAATAATAGTGACGACGGCAATTATAAATTAATTAACAAGAGTTACATGGAATTATTGTAAATTCCATTAATGCGCTATCAATGTATGAGAAGTTTGGGCACAATGATGTAACATGTTTACTTATTACCGTATTTCCATAGTAAAGTGGTTTATACAAGTATCACTTATTATTCCGTCTTACTCGAATATTTTATAATTTTTTACTAAAAACATTTCTTATTTGTTAAAAGGAGATGAAATAAATAAATTACTATAAAAATGAAAAATTAATGAATAACTAAATATTTTAATATAATTAGTGAAAGTCAAAATAATTTCAGAATCCTATCTCTTTACAGAAATATAATATTAATCTAAAATAGTAAATTGCATGCGGTTTATTGCGGTCATAAATGTTATCGCGAATGTCGTATCATCGATTTTTGTGTTTATTTTATTATTTACATAAATGAAATAATTTTACGATAACAGTGACAACGGAAATTAATTAATGAGAGTTGCATGAAATTATTGTAATTATTAATATAGCAATATAGATAGAGAAGTTCAGAAATAATGATAATAAGTGTTTACTTATCATCATATTTCCATGGTAAAGCAGTTTCATGGTAAAGTTTATACAAATGTCACTTATTATTTCGTTTTACTCGAATATTTTATATACCTTTAACATTAAAAGCACCAAAATTTCTTATTCGCTAAAAGGACGAATCGAAATTATATTAATAAATTATATTAATAAATATTATATTAATAAATTATTATATTATGAAAAAGTAATAAAAATACTAAATATTTTATTATAATTATTGAAAAGTGAAAAAGTTTTAAAATTCTATTTTTTAGAGAAACATAATATTACTCTAAAAAATACATATAATGACTGTTCAGTGTTTCTAGTGTTAATGGATATTTATCGTAGAGAATTTTTTTATGTTTAAAGTGTGAGTAATTGAATATGAGAGAATGAATAAGCGAGATAATTCCATGTGCATTAATTATCATGAGCTATGAATCATGAGCATTTTCTTTAGATAATTTTGAATAACAGATTTCACTTGTGATGTAAAAATTTGAGATTAATATCATAAATCGAAAGATTGTGACGTCATACATTAATTATGTAATGTATGCTAGTGTGATTTAAGCTTTGTCAAATTATTTCTAATGGAAATATATTCCTGTAGGTCTAGGACGTTATGTGCAAAGTACTATATCTATGACATAATATTGCGCAAACTTCGGTTTCGCAACCTATCGTGCGGTGAACTCTCATACGGATTCTCAATCGTTGAAAGTTGCTTATCTATTTCATTCATTCTATAATCGCATAATTTGTAATAAAATGTAATAGTGTATATTTATATATCGCATATTTAATCTCAATTAAATTAATTCCTCGAAAGATAAATTATTATCAAAATTGATATGATAAAATTGGAATAAAGATGAAATTTCTTGAAATTATTCATATACATAATTCTATGAATCATTCATTATGTTGCATTTTTAAATCATTCATTATGGCTTATTTTTAAATTCTTAGTTTCTTCAATTTTTACGTTTCCACATTTTAATTACTGCGATAAATTTTTTACGCCATTTCATAAAGTAATAAGGATAACAGAAATTTTGTATTACCTAATGTATTGCATAATTGCTAGGCCGATAAGTTATCGTTTTCTCATCAAAGTTTTTTCTGATTTGAGATGTGATAGTCTTAAAGATTAATATTTAAAAAAACATTCAATTTTTTTAAAAACCATAAATCTATACTTTTTTAAATATGTAATAATTAATGATACTGTTACAAAATTAAAAGATTTGTCGAAAAGATTTTGCTCAAGAATGAGATAATTCATAGCTCTTCAACCGTGAAGAGACTGCTGTATTACGGGAATATTGCGGCTTTAACAGGAATACGCGACAAAAGTTATGTGCGTGAAAAAGATATATATTCGCAAGATACAACACGACAAGATGACATAACTGTTTCCATTTTGCGTAAGCTAGCAATCTTCGGTTTCGATCCGGATAATTTTGCGATGCCGTTTCTTGAACTTGATACACTTAAAGTAAGATAGAATATCTACGAAAGATAAGTAGTTTGTAAATGAGGAACGATGCAAAAAGGACAGAAACAAAAAAACGCGATTGTGCGGATAAATATCTTCATTGCAACTTCTCAATTTAGCTCTTTTATTCCTTTCCTCGTTTATTTTTAAATAAAATCTGATAATTGCATTGATTATTAAATAAATCAAGATTATTTTGAGATGAATAAAATATTTAAAAATATTAAAAGATTTTTAAAATATTTAAGCATACATATTTTTTATATCTTTTATATAAGTAATTATAATTTTTTATATTATTATTTGAAATACGATCATTCATAACGTGATAATAATTATGTATGTACGTAATCTGGTTAATAAAGTAGCGATTAATTAGTTATTAGCAATTAATTATTAGTTATTTAGTTATTATTAAATTAATATAATAATCATCAAATATAGATATTTATGATCCATTATTATTAAATTATTAGAATAATGATTAAATATGGATAAAATATGCTATATTCCTAATATTTCGTTCTATATATAATACATAATGAGGAGTTAATTTCCGTCACGGGTAATGCGTTGTACTGTTATAAAAACGCGTGAACGGGATATTTTTAATCAACTCTTTGTCCTTCCATGCCGATATTTAGAGCCAACTTGAGCACGTGACACTGAAAGTTACAAGTACGCAGTACGATAGAGATATGATTATTATTGCCAGAACATGCAATCTCATGAGGAATCATTGTCAATTATATAACACGAAGCTTAGTTTGTGTATTGCGCATTTTTTTTTAATCTATGTGACATGCATTATCGCATGATACAGTCGCCTAATTATAATATATTGCATATTTTCGTGAAATTTTTTTCTGTTTAAGTATGCTTACCGTGTTGGAGAACATAAATATTGAAATTATTAATACTGAATTAGATATAAATTTATGCATTTAGGTTAATGTACGTATAAATTTTGATAGCAATACTTCAAACTCTAAAAATATCCATAAATCATATTCGAATTAATTCCAAAAGCTATAATATGATTAAATAAATTGAAATATATGCCTGTTGGCTATTAATGATTGAAACATATATTTAATTATGAAATAAACTATAATATTTTGAGTAGCATAAAGGATTAATACAATAACAAATTATTATTTATAGTTTCCTCGGGAAATTATTTGGGGACTTAATTATTTTTATAATATTATATAATATTATATAATATTTGTACATGTTTTAATTTAAAAAAATTGTCACTTGTTATTAACAATCCCTAAGCTGTACATGAAATATTAATTTTTGTCTATTTATTTATTTAACCTTTTCTTTTCGGATTAAAATTTTCAGTTTACATCTCACAAGATATTAATTATCAAACGAAATTAGATTTATTTGCGCGTCGCATACGATTAACATGAAACTCAGAGCATTAATGAATCTTGAACAAATCAGCTGCAAATAAATTTCAAACACCTGTTCTGAACTTGTGCTGTATGCCGAGCACAGTGAATAATCGATCATTGTTCTTATTTTCACTACTTCTATTTTTATCTCGTATTACGCTCCGATAAAAGGTTCTTTATTAATACGAATAAGGGATCGCAATAAGATTGAATGAGAAACGTTTACAGGCGACAGACTCCACTTGCGCCCGTATCAATACAAATTGCGTTGTATTTCACCTCTGATACGTAGGATTGCGTAACCACATGTAATACAACAGCGAGAGTAAATTCGGTATATAGGTAAGATTAGAATCAGAGGAGCAAAGCGAGTTAATAATCGCTGCGACAATAAACATTGTGTACTCTGTACTTAAATAAAAATTATTATATTCGAGAATTTTTAATAATGCATACGATATATTAATAATTCTTTACACATTTTAATCCATTTCTTTCCACCGTCTTGTTTATATTTTTTTTAAAGTATCTTTTTAGTTCTCTATATACAATGTATATAATCCATATACATAAAAGAAATTGAAAAAATATTTCATATGGAGCATTTATATAGAGAAAGAAGATTTTATCTCTAAATATGATGATGAAGAGAAATGGATTAATAATTTTTTATGTTTATATATTTATGTGTTAATTAAAAATAAATAAAATTCTAGAAAATGACAAGAAATTAAACAACTTTATGTTAAAAAAATATTGAGCTCTAAAATATGAAGAAGAAAAATTAGAAGAACATTTATTATTTAATTTTTATGAGAACATAAAGATCTATATTCTTGTACTTCATTCAAGAAATGGATGCGTAAAATGGATGATTAAAGAGAATAAAAAATAATTTAAATAAGGTTCTTGATGTCATAATTAAAGCTTGAAATGATTAATTAGTTTAATAAATTGTTGATAAAATCTATTTAGAAAATATGAGAATCACTGTCTGAACTATCAATCTCGTTGGCGAGATTACACATTATATGTGTAAATGGAGAGACACACATGAAACAAATCTGATCTAATCAGCCACTTACCTCCTCCTACCGCGATGACACGACGAGTACGTGATCTCAAGTTCGACGTAGATCGTACGTGGAAAAGGGCACGTACGCGTTTGCGTGTCGAATATATGCACATGAATCATATATGTACGATATAGATATTTTCCAATTTTTATTGTGCTTCAGCGTTGAATAATTCAGGATGATTCGGCCAGTTCGCACTCGACAACCTCGCAAACATGCAAATCAATTAGCCAAATGACATCGTTATTGTCGCATAGGAATTGCATACATTTCATTTGTGAGAGAAATGATGCATGTTCTCATGCGAATTTATTGCGCACCCGTAACAGTTATTGCCATTATCGCGATTCTCTTGACATTAAGGTACATATTTGAACATAAATGCTGATTAAAGAAAGTTGCAGTTAGTTTTCAAAATATTATTACTCGGTGCTTTCAAATGCATTCCTTTTCGATCTTTAACATCTTATCAATATACAAATATTGCATGAATCATATCTGGATTGATATCTTATCATTAAAATCTTAAATCTTAAATATTTTAAATCCATTACTCGATATTTTGAATCGTCTTTGAATATATCAAAGGCAACTTTCTATTACATTAAATTAAAGTAATTTGAAATGGTGAAATTATTTGTAATATATTTTATATAATATAAATAGAAATATTTATAATTTTTTTATTTGATCGCATTATTTACAGCGCAAAGTTTGTTGGAAAAATCATTATTTAATTATTACGCGAATTTTAAAGAAATTAGCAATAAATAATGAAGATAAGTATTTAAAAGAAATCTGTTGACACAATCTGTCTCATTGTACAAAAATGTAATGAAATTCTTCACATGTATATCAAATTAAATATCAATTGAAAGATTAATCAATGTCTGTCAAAGGTCATCAGGTTTTTTTTTAATCATGCAGGCTTGCCATTAAAATCAGGGAAGTGTCAAGAAAATTGAAAATAGTCAGGAAAATCAGAAAAATTATGGAATTTTAAAATAAGAGAAATTGGTGGCAATCCTGTTATGAATTTTGATTTGGAGAGAAGATAAAAAATGAAGATTCGGTTAATAGGATTTCGTTTATGTCTATTACTTGCACGTGTTAAAATAGCGGAGTTCATCATAGCTTTCACTGTTCGCGCAATAAGCAACAGATAACTTCGACAAAGTGCGCGAAATCTATCGTTATAGCGACGAATGTTAGAATAGAATCTGGATGAAAGGCAAATCACGCGAGTAAAGATTACTATAATTGTAAATAATGATGGAATAGTGATTCGCTAATGGTTTTGATTATGATTGATGATTCGCCCTTGCGCGTTGATAAATTATCTAATGCCTTAGGGACAAACAATCACCATTAAAATATTAATATAATAAGCCTGATTTGATGAAATAACTTATTTTTGGTTATAATTTCAATAATAATAATTATTTTACAATATATTCTAGTAACATCTAACGGTGACTTTACGAACTTTTGCAAACACCTAATATAAAAACAGATTTTCTGTAATCTTGATGCCAATAATGTACATGATAAGACATGGAAAAATTTTACCTAGAAAACTTTCCCCATAATCCGGAACATACCGGTTTTTTTGGTCGTAGGTATCCGAGTGTTCCAAGTCGGAGGGACCGTCGTTGTCGACCTCCCCCGGTTCTGACTTTCTTACCTCGCCGGCGCACCGGTCCGTGCCGCTGACCTCGCGGCACTTCTCGAGGACGTCTTCAAGGGCGTCGCAGAGCTCTCTCCAGAGCCCGAGCAAGAGCACGAGCACGTCGCCGCCGAAGACCGGCAGCTCGAACTCCCTCAACAAGTTTCATAATCGATTGGTGGATAAGCTGAAGCGCTCGCTGAAGAAGGCGGAAGATTGCGCGGAGGATCAACGTAACCTATCGTGAAACAATCAAGGGGTTTTGGGCCGGCCACCCGCGTCCGGTTCGAAACCGATCGAGATCCGACGCACTTCGGCACCCGTTACCGTATCCGAGTCGAGCAGCAACGTGGCGGCGCGCTCGTGTCCGGATCCGCCTTCAGCTTGGTAAAGAAGAAAAAGAAAGGAGAAAGAAAAAGATGATAATGACGAAGGAAATGAGAGTAACGGGGAATGTGTGCGAATATGCGAGAGTATGAGAGAGAGAGAGAGAGAGAGAGAGAGAGAGGGGGGGGAGTAAAATGTCGCGCGGATGTCTGAAAGAGGAGAAAGGAGTTCGCACACGTTCAGCTCGAAAGCGAGCACGTTCAAGTTTGTTAGCCCAATACAAGCAAGAAAGAGGAGAAGTTGGTTGAACGATCATCGAGCCGTTGTGTTCGACTCGCTGGATGTCGACAGTCGATCATGTCAAGAAGCCTCACGGATCGAGAGACCTCGATCGAACGATCGGACGGTGGCGCAGCATTGGTGAGTGCTCGAGAGGACGAAGAGACGCTTGGGATGTTCCTTTGGACAGCAACATTTTTAAGATGATATGCAGTTCCGCGACTACGCCGATATATAAAAGCCAAAGCAATATCGATGAGCCAATATAGCGCAAAGCTCTGATTTTACATTCTCCAATTTGAGAATCTGTTTAAGATGGCGTGAGAAAGAGCAAAAGAAAAGGAGGAGCTGGGAGGACAATGGAATCGCAGCCGATCGATCGATCGATGTTGATCGAGAAGATTTCAAGGAATCATCGAAGATCATCGAAAGTCAAAGGACAATCGTGAAGGACGGAGGAATCGGCGACGGAGAAAGTGAGGTACATAATGATAAAAACAGGATTACAATATCGAGATCTTGTCTTGCACAAATCGCGAGATTGTCTCGCACGTTGAATGTCGCAGGCTCGTGATCGGTCGGTTATATGAAATAAAGTCACTTGAGTTGCCAGACCTAAATGTTAAGTTCCTTCATCGCGCGATTTTTTATGCGCATTGCGCTATATACGTTGTTCTTTTCCTAAGGACAATTGGAAACGAAAATCGAAAAGAGAAAGACATTCAGCGGGCGCTTGTTTGTGTTTTCATAGAGGAAAAGTAATACCTTAATTATCTGAAGGATATCATGAAAATGCTCGAAAGAAATCTGATATATAATTTAATATAGACTAATATAAAAGTCATTTTTTTCTGAATGTCGCAAATGTTTTTCTAAACCTTCCAAATTTTTTAGCATTTCGAGTATCTTTTAGACATCCTTTTGATGCTGATGCGTTTATTTAGCAGGCGCAAAAATGTTTCTGATTTCCGTGGAGGAAAAGTAATACCTAAAGGATGTCGTGAAGATGTCTGTCGAAAGAAATCTAATATAGAATTTGATATAAAAATCATTTTTTTCTGATGTCTCAAATGTTCCTCTAAATCTTCCAAATTTTCCAGCATCTTTCGAGCATCTTTTAGACATCCTTTTGATGCGTTTATTTAGCGGGTGCGAAGATGTTTCCGTAGAGGAAAAGTAATACCTGAAGGACGACATGAAGATGCCTGAAAAAAAATCTGATATCAAATCTGATATAAACTGATATAAAAACAGTATTTTATGTTTAAAGTATTTTTCTAAACCTCTCAATCTTTCCGGCATCTTTCGAGTATCTTTTAGGTACCCTCTTGATGCGTTTATTATTTCTTTGCCAAATTATTTTCGCGTGAAATACGTTAAACATGGAAACAAAACCGCGTATCTTCAATCGTAACATCCAATTAACTTTCTCGCAACCTAGACTGAAAAGTGTTCTCTAATCAGTACGTCACGCAAAACCGTTTTAAAGATAGAGGCTCATACTCTTTGCAGATTAAGCGCGACTCTGTTCTAATTGCGTTATTTATTTGCTTAATTGATACGTGATATATATATACACACACACACACACACACACACACACACACACACACACACACACACACATATATATATATATATACACATATATATACTCATTCGGCATGAAATGAGGACAGAATTAGCGCGGCGAGAAATATACAGGCCAACGTGCAAAGAGAGAGTCGCTAGCGTAAAAGCACCGCGAAAATGTCGTTTTTATCGTTAAACAGTGGCGAGGCTCATTCGTTGTTGTTCGGATTAGGTTCGAGTTTGCGTACCGGAAGCAGCAACGGCAGTTTCTCGCCTTTGCGGGATCGGATTTCGTCGTGCAGAGGAAGGATACTGTGCGTATATGTGCGTGTAATTCAGGGCCGCGTATGAATGTGCGCAACTTGCGTGCTCACTTCGGGTCACCAAGCATGCGAAGCCTAAGAGACTTGATTTATTTTCACGTACATATTCCTATTCAACGTCGCAAATTTATGTCAATTATACTTATGTATCTTTGTAAGCACGTTCGCTCTGCGCGGATCTCGTTTTTCGCGCTCCCCTTCAGGAAACCTTCCTACCTATGGAATACAATAGCGATGTATAATACGAGGAATATAATACGAGGAACATTTTTCGCATAGAATTGATGCGTCGAGTAATGTATTTTAATATTTGAAAAATAGCCTCGGAGTACAGAAAAATTCAAGTACCATCGCGAAAAAGATTTTTTCCTAGAATTGTGGGTGAATTTTCATCCAAATGCTACTTTAAATTCAATACAATTTTATTAAAATATTTTGTTAAATTTTGACTTGAAATAATATTAGATAAAATTATTTAACACTTTAAAGTTCTCTTTTTTTACAAAAATAATTCAGTTTTTCTCTACATCTTGCAACATACATAAAGTAGACAAAGAGAGTGTAAAAAGTTCTTAATTAGTATAAGTAAATTTTCATTCAGAGTAGTGTTAGTGTAAGAAATTTGAACTTTCCATTTTAAGAAAAATCGCATTCTGCGAATCTAAATGATTCGTATTGTGTATTATAGACTTGCTTTTATATTTATACTTTATTAAACGCTAGTACTTCTTTTAATTTTTCGTGATTGTTTTTCAAAAAAATAAAAAATTTATCGAGCAATTACTGACGCATATCAGTTTATTGAACGATATATTACTGTTTCCTTCATGTTGTATCGCGTACGATACGATAGCGCTAAAATATATAGCGCGGCCTATATGGGGAAGTATGAAAGATGCATCCGGTACCATTAATGATGCATTCCGCGGTGTATGTGTGTCGCATTGTAAGAGGCGCGATTTGTGAGCGCTATCGTTCCATAGACTTCTGCTTTTCTTAAATCGCGCGCAGGCTGGGCGAAGATATTTTTTTGAACGAATTTTCGCCACTCGTCGCTTGCCATCGAAGATGTAGACAACGTTTTTTTTCCTCGAGATATTTCTCGCGCGCCCAAGTTATTCGTATTTGTTGTTTCGCGTCGCTACAGAGCGCT